GATCTGATCTGCAAGCTGGGCCCTTGTCCGCTCCAACTCTACACACAGCTCTCTGACCAGAGCGCTGTCCTCCAGGGGTGGAAGTTGCTGGACTGGACTTCTTTCCTCAGGGTTTGAGGAGTTCTGGATGTTGGGAGACACCAGTTGGGTCTCTGCTGGCTTTCTGAACGCCGCCTGATGGTGTGGGCAGAGAGCAGAGCCTCCAGGTCGAAGTCCTCGTAGTAGAGGTGGGCGTCATCCTCTAATGTATGGAGGTGCCAGGGTTTTGAGGAGAAAGTGTTCGAAGCTGTCCATGTTTGTGTGCGTCTTCACCAGTGTCCTGAGAAGTTGTGTTTGTTCCAAAAGTGTTCGTGCCTTTTATAGGGCGCAAAAGTCACATGATGTGACATATAGAATGTGACATCATCTCCATGCTGCTGGGTCATTGGCTGACACAAGATGTCTCCATGATGGAATCTTGATTTTGATCTGGTTTGATCTGGTTTTGATCTGGTTTTGATCTGGTTTAGTCCTGGTCAAACTCAAATTTTAATCATGGGTTCACACCCCGACCCTGAACAGATTGATGTAAGAAAAGTGGGAGCAAAGGCACCCCCTAGCAATTTGCACAAACTTTAACCGATTTCACTCAAATTTTAATCGTGGGTTAACACCCAGACCCTGAACAGATTCTTGTAAGAAAATAAAAAAATGCGTGCAGTAGAGCACCCTAGATATTTTGAACAGAGCAATAACGTTTTATTTGTCATTTACATAACATTTGGTATACACATTTCTGACATGGTCTCGATTAAAAACCTCAGTGATGCCCACACCCCATTTACATGGTGTTGCCATGGCAACAAGCACAAAATCTGCTCTTGCCAATGAGATGTCCTTACACAAAGTTTAAAAATAAATAAATAAAATTTTGTAGCCAGATGCATCTTGGCAAAAGAAACAAAAATGTATATTGCAACCACTCCTGTTTGTTTTAATAAATACATGCAAAAATTATGTAAAATGTAAGGGTTAGGTTAAGAGTTAGGGCTAGGGTTGGGGCTATGGGGAGGATTATGACTAGGGTTAGGTTTAAGCTTAGGGTTATTAGGGTGAGGCACAGCATTTGCAGGGCGCGTGTTTGTGGGGTGCGGCGTTTGCGGGACGAGGTGTAGGCGCATGCGAGGGCTGATCATTGCCGCTTGCGGCTATATTTGTTGTTATTTTTGTGTAATTTATTTTCATATTTTTTCTGAAAATATTTTAATAGAGTTACATCTGGAAGAATTAATCAATCTCCAAACTGAAAACAACAATGAATCAAATGATCTATTGTAATTTGCTCTAGACTGACATTCAAATGCATTTTCTCAAAGGCATTTCAACAGGCTGGATCATTACTGAACTGAGACTTTTTCTTTTTCCACCATGACCCACACAGTATTAAAATGTAACACTAGGTGGAGCTGTTTCTCCACTACAGAACTCCTCTCTGTTTCCAAATGGCTCTCGGCCTCACTGTGTAATTGAATTTCTTGGGCCAGTGTGTACAGTGATTGATGGCTGGAATGAATTAGCATGTGCATATAGATTTGAGTGAAAGTTCAAAAGCATGGTGGTTATTATGCCTTTACTTTGTTTTAGACTAGAGGAAGGTAATTTATGTGCATACAAAATACATGGGTAACCACATTAATACTGCTATATACTACAGTAATGGAATAACACTGGTGTAATTGAGAGTCTTGAATCTACATACTGTGTGAACTGAGCACATCGGACGACTGTGTAGCTGCCATAAAATTGGTTGTACAATTTTGGACAGTACTCAGTTTTCTGTATTCACATCTGTTTCAAATACTCATAGAATCTCATAAATGTGACAGTGATTTGTAATGAATCGCTACCTCCCAATCCGCATAGCTGCGGGATGTAGTTAACCATCATTTTCAACTTTCGACCTTGCAAGTCAAACTTTTTCAAATTGCAGAATCTTTTGGGGACTGGGCTTTTTTTGGAAAGTGATAAATTGCTAACTGTGTGAAATGTTGGAGAGATGCTTCCTTAATGTACAACTTTAAAAAGACAGTGAGGTCCTGAGTTTGGATGTCTTGGATTATGTCATTCCCCATCCAACTAGAAGTTCAGTGCACATTGTAGCGTGCCCTGACCATTGCACTTAAGGACACCATGACCTGATACACATTTAAAGCATTACCTTGAGTTGTTTTGTTTCATTCACACATGTTAACACACAAACCCTGCATTTAGGATGAGTTCTTTCTCAAAGAAAACACCTGTCCTTGTATGTCATGGTAATACAGGAAGCACAGTTTTTTAAACTCATGACCTTCACTATCATTTTGGATGATTTCAGGCCTGGAATAGTCAGTACTCTCTAGTGAACCTAAAGTTAAAAGGTAGTTGTTAACTTGAAAACTACAGTTTCATGACAACACAAGGTGGACCAGAGCATTTTGAGCTTGGCAACAGACAAATTAAAGATTATCAACATCTCTGAAACAAAAACAACCGCCAGACATGTTTATGAGGAGGTAACAGTGATCTAATATGACCTAAAATTCACAAAAGTAAATTCTGAGTTATAACCAGTTGGTAATCTCATACATATATTTCCCTTTGAACATAGAAACTGACTTATCTATGTCAACTAAAGGCCACCATACACTACAGGATTTTTCTGTATTAAACGTTTTTTAAATGTGTGATAAAAAGTACACACCACAGACACAAGGAGAATCTTATGAGATTTTAAGTCTCCGATCGCAAAGACTGCAGCGGGGGACCACAGGCTATAAAGTTGTGAGTGCGATTGCATAAGCTGTTTCGTGTCCTAAAACCAGCTTTGAGAAAGTTACCATTTTTTAATATAACAAGTTTTGATTAATATTCTGAGTGTGAGGATACTGAAGGAGTGACAGAAGGTTTGCACCTACTACTTCAATACAGGAAGCAGAAGGTTGGACTTAGAATCCGCTATGCAGCCACCTCTCCACCGCATGCTGCGAGGATGTAAAACAACTTAGGTAAGGTTCACCTTTTTTCTTTGAAACGTACACTTTCAAACAGATTCACAGCGCTTGTTTTGGAAGATTATTGTGTGGAGGATAATTGTGGCGGGAGATGCTGCAGTTTAAATGTACAACTTTACAAGAGGTGAGTAATAATTATTTTCCTGAGTTTGTATCTTGTGTCTCTGTGTCTGTCACTCCATCTTCCCCTGACACTCTGTTTTATTGGCTGTTACCGTAGCGTTACTGATGTTTGGTGGTTACGATCTGACAGAGCCGCTCGAGTCACACTGACATGACACGCGTGAGGAGCACAGCGGGTTCAAAATCGTAGACGAAGGCAAAAATGTCACGTCCTACTCCTTAATTGCACCTGCAAATTCCCCTGTAGTTGTTCGACCTTAAAGCAATGTGTCCTCATACCAAACAGGATTTACTACAAAGGATTTTTTTTTTTTTTTTTTTGTTGCCAGCTTTCATTTGGAGCACAATTATCGTCTCTCAGTTTGATCAATGTTTACTCAGTTGATTGCATTATATTCATGTTGTGTTTTGATTACTCGTTCTTAGACTAAAGACGTGTGAGGGGCTGAAGGAGAGGAGATCAGCGGTTCCCAGACTAAACAGTGGTGAGCGCTAATGCGGCTGGTGGCTCAGGTAAGGTTATGTAAGAAGATAGAAGAAGAAAGGTGAGGAGATGGAGATAGGCGGCGAGGGAGACATAAAAGGTATATTTGATGGAGAATCTTGTGCATTTCATGCTGACATAGGGCAGACTCTACATCGTTTCTGTTAATGACACTATTAAAACCTGTGAACATGTGTTTAAGTTTCTACTGACACAAGCGCTGGTTTGAAATTAAGATTTTCTTCTACACTCCTTTCATTATCTGAAAAAGTGAGTGCACAGCTGTGCTTGCGATGTGAGCGAGAATAACATAACAAGATAATTATAAGAACATAAGAGAAATCTCCAGAGAGTAGCATTGATCGGTGAAACAGAAGTGAACATATAGGGTTTTATTACGCTGTTTATTATTGTGCCTTTGAGCGAGACACTTCAGCCTCCTTATATGTACTTTATGAATTCCAATACCGATTCAGATATTATGGCTTTAAAAGTGCACAAGGTAACTTTTCTGTTGGGGGGTCCTTTACCTGCTTATTTCCATGGAAATGTCATTGCTCTGCTTCAAATTTTCCACATTAATCAGCTCTACCTACAATTTTTATTACAAGTTTTATAACTCAAAAATACCTAGAAAAACAGACATTTTAACTGAACGGGGTTACCTCTGCACAGATCTGACCTGTAACTTGGTCTGGTTTGGTAGATAGAAAGGTTTAATGTCATACTGTGAAACATTTCAGACCCTCCACCACAAAAGTTACACAATGCACCTTTAAGTATCTGCCAATATTAACCAACAGCGCAGAGACTGAAAACAGCATTTATTCCCTTTAAACTAAACGAAAATGAGACTAAACTGATCCAAACGGGTTGTGAATCTCTTATTTATCTCTCAAGTAATATACAGAGTACATTTGTAAGCATAAAAATCCAAACACTATGAGACTTTCTGGACCAGCAAATAGTCAAATATCAAATTTTATGTCCAACCGAGATATCAGCTGAACGATATTTTGAAACGAATTTCTGATCCAGCTAACTTTTTGAGTTTTTAACAGGAAAAAGCTTTTTGTGTCCTGAATGTGTCCATTGAATCCGAAGAATGAGAGTCTATCGATTGCTGAGCTTCAGATGATATCACTTCGTTACAGGGCAATATTATAAAAAGATGGAGGCAGGTAAAATAAATATGGTTTAACAGTAGATTTTTGTTGCAATATAGCATTTACTCAAGGTCTTAGGTCTAGTCACTGATAAGAAATAAGAAAGAAATGAGATTAGTTTATATTTGGAAATTACCTTTCTAGTATATCATGGCAAAGTATAGTGTAATCAATGGGAAAATCACCAATGCTCACCTCTCTCCATTCTTTGGTGCCCACCGCCTGCAGGTACAGCACGACCACTGAAAAAGACAAAGAGACAAGAGCCGGGTTAAAGAAAAGGAAGCAGACTGCACCTAAATGATGTCAGTAAATAAAAGCTGACATGTGATGAAACTCCAGGGAGAAATCAGCAGGGCTCGTATGGATTTCCATTAGAACCGGCACAGCGTGATTCCCTCTCGATAGACCAAAGACCACCATTCTACCTTTGCGAGAGAGAACTATAGCCCATGTTCAATGTGCATCCAAAGATAAACAACATAAATAGCATTGCATTATCCTGGATACGTCAGGGCATAATGATGAACCTCTCAGACCAGGACCTGTCGGCTAAAATCCATAGTTCTTTTATGGATTTTTTTTTGTCTACTTTTGGATGAATAGTTTCTCACTGTGTTAGAAAGTATAGTGTATACAAAGTGACGGCATGGGGCAAAAAGTCTCAACTGAAGTGAGTAGTAGTTTAAATAGAATGTATAATTAGGCACAATAAGAAAACCGGACACAGTGCAGGTTTTCAGAGTTAGCTTTGATGTAGAGCAGAGTCCTGCACGGGTCCATTTTTGGTGACCTGCACCCACCCACACCGCGCAGTACAGCACCGCACCTGCCCGTTAACCCATGATTATATCAAAGTTAAACTCACTCCTGCCCGAAACAGTTAACATTCCACCCGTTACCCACCGTGATAAACCAGAAATAAATTAAAAGCATTCCGAAGCATTTATCAGAATATGAATTGAAAAGTTACGACTTCAAGAATTACAATCACAAAATGAAATGAAACGGTTACGCTTTCTTCAGTATGAATATGAATTCACAGACAAAACTCAATTGTCATCACTTCACAGGCATTATTTACTGAGCAGAAGAAACATTGGTTGAGATGTCGCACTTTTGCGCCGCGCATGCCATGGACTGAACCAGGACTAACCCAGAATTGAACCAGGATTCACTGTCAGGATGGGCCTGGTGGTACGCTCGCATAGACTGTCGGGTGACCGCAGGCAAAAGGACCGAGCAGCCGTCGCCCGATCGTGCTTTGTGGGCACCCTGCTCTTAAGTCCAAGATTAGTCCAGGTTTAGAACTGGTTTAGTCCTGGTGTAGTTCTGGTTTAGTCCCAATTTAGCCCTGACCCGCCTGTGTGTAATTATCTATCTGCTCACCCATAAAATAAAATAAATTAAAACCCGCCCGTTTCAGCAATTTGCCCGCGGGTACCCAACCCGGAGCAGAACTCTGATGTAGAGCCATTAAAGGGCCTATATTACATATGTTCTATATATGTTCTTCTCTCAAACAGAACACACTCTGTTCCACCTTGTGATATCACAGGAAGCACTCTGCTGTGTTTTTAAACTCCATACACCTTCACTAGAATCATTTGGATCATTTCAGCCTTGGAATTGCCTGTCTCTACTGAGCTAAAGGTAACAGGTAGCTGTCAACTTGAAAACTACCACTTCTTAACATTGCAAGGTGGAACAGAGCATTTTGAGCTTTGGAGATGTAGACAGATAAAGTGTGAATGAAAGAAAACACAACTCAGGGTGTGTTTTTGAAGAGGCAACACCATTATAACATGGCTTAAAGCTCACCAGAATCAATTTTGTGTAATACAGGACCTTTAAACAATGTTTTCTCAATGCAGCACATGTAGTGTTACTAGCCAACATTTTCCATTAGATGAAACAGGTCAGTAAAGCCATGTTTTCCGTATATTTTGTGCTGTTTTCACTTACTTTGTGGTGAACAACTGCCAAAGACATTTTTCAATGTTTTCGGGACATGAACTTGAAATAAACTGCCTATGTCAACAAGATGACCGGGCCAGTTTGCGGTTTGGACTGTAACAATCTTTCTGAGAATGGAGCCAATGACCTATGGACGCAGCAGGGTCTGGAGACTAGAACGAGACAAAAACTCAATTTGACCAAAACATGACCTGGGTTGTAATGCTATGGGGCTGGCGGTAAAAAAACAAAAATAAGTTCCAACTACAAACTAATTCCACAGTTCATGAGATAAACAAAGTGACTCTTTTTCCCTTCCTGAACAGGCTTTTTAAGAATAGAAATATGCACTCAAAAATCAAAATACATTGGGCACTATTACAACTACTGGAAAATATACAAACATTTTAAGGCCAAAATGACGAGACTCACTGTACTAGTTACAGAGAGAGGTGAAAAGTCTGAGCCAGAGTTGATGGAGCCCAAAGTGTACCCATGCTCACTTCCTATTTGGAACACTGTATAGCTATGTCCATGTATATTTCCAGTCTATGGGTTATGTACGGTGCAGCATATGGACACCATAAATAGCAAGGAACAGGACTTCAGTGTACTGCTGTTTTTGCCAACTTCCATCCGAAATAACAAATGCAAAGCTTGCGAATATCGGTCCTTTCTATTGTCAACAAAGTTATTTATGTTTTGATGCTTGTTATGTTCTAATAATACATTCCCCCCGTGCTGCAGCCTCTTGCATAAAATAAATCACTGACTGAAATTACCTGTGAATGTTTTGATCTTTAGCACCTCTCCCTAATGACTGCCGCTCCTAATTTTAGCCTATGCATTAATGGCCCAAACACTCCCCCAGCCCAAGCAGTCCCCAGGCTCTTCTTCTGTGTGGAGTAGAATTGAAGGAGTAATCAATCTCTGCATTTGAGCCTCAAACAAAGCCTGTCACGCTGTCAACAACATCACATATCAATACTCAATGCTAATAGCCTGAAGATAGGTTCAGGCATGTTCAGAATACAGTGGGGCTGGTTGATGGAGAAAATAAACAGTGAATCACAATATAGCACTGTTAAAGTACAGTTTAAGTTTAAGGGGTTACGAACTGTTACTTTTACCAGTAACAAGTACTTTTTCCTCTGCTCTAACATTATTATAGTTACTGTCAGTGTAATGGGGCTTGTTATTTTACTTTGAGTATCAGCAACGAAGACAGATCAGGCTGCACTCTCTCGTCTCATGAAAAGGAGATGCGAAGTTTGTTTTTTTTTCCTTTATTTTGGGAAGTAAACAAAATCAAGGCAAGAGATCAGAGACAGTGATCGACTATAAATGTGACCAATCAGAAGCAGTGTGAGGAGGCCCTGTAGACTTTCCTGACATTTCCTTTCCTTGGTTTAGCGTTGACAAATACTCACTTTTTGTCAACACACATGAGGAAATATGCCAATTCTTGTGGACTTAATGGGTATACATTAGTATTTGGCGACTCTTTTGCGATAGGAGCACAGACGACTACAGCAGGAGTGACTTGTGCGTCTGGAGTTTACAGTTCGCTTCAATGATGTGATAATGGACACGGCCCTCTGCTCACACTACTTATCATAAGTGCAGCTCATCTAATATCTGTTTGGTGGTTCACTTTATAGTCTATGGGTTTTACATGTGTATAAGGGCTGTCATGTGATGTCCACATGTTTGTAATGTTCTGATACAGTACATGTGTTTGGGAAATGATGTTTGGTCATGGCTGAATTTAGCTTGTTTTAACTTGGAAAAGCAGCTCGGATGTACTTTGAGGAATTAAAGGGATTTAATAATTGAATAGTTACATTATCTGGCAATTAGCTACTTTGGTCACCCATTAACGCATTAATTAACCCATTAATTACTTACACAATTACAGAAGTATGAGAAGTAATGGGTAACTATAACTAATTACTTTATTTAAGGTTCCTCCCCAACACTGCTGAATCACAAAAGGTGAGTATCTCATCAGCTGTAAAATGTAAATCAGTGCAATCAAATAAAATAACAAAAACTAAACCAAAATTCTGAAACAAATGCATCAAATGAATAATTTGAAAAAAGAAAACAAAAAACAGAAAGCAGTCCAAATTAAAATATTCATAACAATCTGTGCAACTAAATTGCACTTTCAAATCACAAAACAAATTGGTACAAAAAATAATTTGAGGAAAATGAGAAGAGTAGGATGGTTGTATTTATCAGGATTATGACTATGAACTAGAAAATTGATAACATGACTTTTTTTTTTCTTCTCCACAGCTGCATACTCAGATGTGAAGGTAATTGTGTTACAAATAAATAACTATTAATACACTCTCCTTTTATGAGGTGAGTGTTCCCAATTCATCTCTGATGTCTATAAAATATTAAAGGTCCCGTATTGCACAAAATTGACTCATGTGAGCTTTAAGCCATGTTACAATGCTGTTACCTCATCAAAAACATACCTGGAGTTGTGTTTTGTTTCATTGAGGAATCCATTATTAGTCTGTATGTCTCCAAAGTGCAGAATGCTCCATGCCACCTTGTGATGTCATGAAGTCATAGTTTTCAAGTTAACAGCTCTTTTATCCTTTTATTCAACAGAAAAATTGGAAATTCCAGAGCTGAAACTATCCAAATGGTTTTAGTGACGGAGTATGGAGTTTAAAAACACAGTGGAGCACTTCCTGTATTGCCACATGGTATCACAACATTCTACAGGCCAGTAATGTCTAATACAAATGGGTCAGCTAAAATTAATATTGTCAAAATCCAGAACTGATTGCAAAACTGTGAGTTTTTGAGTTTACTCACTGATAGATATGATCAAGTTCAACATTTGTGCATATATATTTTGAATATTTCATGACAAAATTCAATGAATTCCACCATATTCCATCAAATGAGACCACCTTAAGTTCTTCAAGGATTTAAACAACACATTTTCAGGAGCCTTTGATCAATACGAATATGCATGGTCCTCTTTAGGTGTTTCAACAAAAAAAGGAGAAGCGAAAACTCCCACCCAGCACTGTTCTAATTCCAACTCTGACATCACCATATAAGAAACTGCGGCTGTCACAGTAGATACTATTATTATTTTCATTCTTTTATGTTTTAAGTTGTAGAATGTGAGCATATATTGAGTTGCTCACCGCTGGCCTCCAGTGGTAAAGCTGAATAATGCATGTGCATGTGTTTCCGATAATTAAAAGCAGACAGATGAACAGCACAAGAGACAGACAAATGAAAAGAAAACAAC